CTTTGGTGAGCTAGGGCTGACATAGTTATTTCCTCATTGGAAAGACTTATAATTAAATATGGAAATGATGAAGTAAGTAAACTCCAAATTATTTATACTTTTATGTTAAATTTAGAATAATCTATGTATATTTGGTATTTTGAATACTTGGAGTAGTTAAGATTTTGGCATATTAAGGTATCTGGCAAATTGTGATTCCAATTTAGAAAAAGTTAATTGGGTTAGTTGATTTAGACCTCAGAGAAATAAGATAATTCTTCTTGGATTATAAGCAGTAATTGGATAATTAATTTAATTTTAACCATTTTTAGAAATTTAATTTAGTAAATTTAAGAATTATGTAAGTGTCTAATAATGTTTGTTTGGTAACCAGACAATTAAAGCACAAAAATTAGATATATTAATATTACAAATGCAATTTTAAATGCTTAAAAGATTTTTAATTAAGTTGTAAAACTCTATTAAAAGTGATCATTGAACTCTTCTAGATTTGTAAATGCAATAGTAAGATTATAAGTTGACATCTTTTTTTCTTTTTCTTCCTCCTTCTTCTTTTTTTTTTTTTTAGGGGGTGGGCAGAAGGAGAGAGAGAGAGAATCTTAAGCAGGCTCCACATCCAGCACAGAGCCCTATGTGGGGCTTGATCTCACAACCTTGAGATCATGGCCTAAGCCGAAATCGGCTGAGCCACCCAGGCACCCCTATAAGTTGAAATCTTAAGAACAAATCTTTTAAAATTACAATTTAAAATATAAATAAAAACAGAAAAGACCTTGAACAATCTTTTTAGGGCATGAAAGTCACCTTTGAGGGGCGCCTGGGTGGCTCAGTCGTGAAGCGTCTGCCTTTGGCTCAGGTCATGATCCCGGGGTCCTGGGATCGAGCCCCCCACCGGGCTCCCTGCTCAGTGGGAAGCCTGCTTCTCCCTCTCCCACTCCCCCTGCTTGTGTTCCCTCTCTCGCTGTCTCTCTCTCTGTCAAATAATTAAATAAAATCTTAAAAAAGAAAGAAAGAAAGAAAGTCACCTTTGAGAACACCATAAAAATCTCATGATCATTTTTCTTCTTTTTTTCTATTGTCCTGAAGCTGCCCTTGGCACCAATATCATCTTTTTCTTTGCCTGGTACTAAAATACCATGCATTTTTAAAAATACTATGCATTTTTAAATAAAATGCAAAGGTGATCATCTTTAAGTAATAAGTTGTAAAGTGTTTTGTAAATTGAAAATAAGATAGTTTTTTTTCTAAATCTTTCATGTGGTCCTTTAGTGGCCTTACGGACATTTGTCTATACACATTCAGAAGCCACCGTCTCATACCATAAAAGTAAAGACAGCAGCAATGACCCATATTAAAGCTGCATACAACTCACTCTTCTGCATGAGTGGGGCAGAAGAACAATCAACATGTGGTTAAATGATTCTTTTTAATCTCGGGATCTGTGAGCTTGCTTTGTCCTTGAGATAATGGTTTCTGATATCCTTTATAAACTTCTTTGCAAGTGACAGATGATAATCTTCCTAATCCAAGCATCCTTGACATTGAAATGGCTGGTATAAGGTTTCCACTGAGTCCATCTGGACAGCAGAGCCTTAACAGAGCCCTGCAAGCTCTTGCATTTCCTTAGAGACAAAGTGGGGACAGGCTAGGGCTCCCCTCTTCAGCAAGAGCAGCTTCCCTGCTACCTCTTTTATATGCTGGGCTTCTGGTAGGATTTGGAGAGCAGCTTCCATAGCTTTGCAGGTTCCGAGGACCACTGGGCCACAGTGTGCTTTTTTCCAGAAGGAGGGGCGGCACTCTGTGAGTGGGCACACATCATCCTAAGGATTGGCAAGCCCCAGGAGGAAAACTATAAATTGTACAGTGAGATGGTTGAGGGACCATTGGGCTGTTTTTCTAAAATGTAAAGAGCTTCACAAACATCAATATGGGGAGTTTACTAGTCCTTGAACTAAACCACGGGGCAACCACCTTGCTTGTAACTTCCTTTATTTGGAAATGGGATCATTCTTGTTTGCTTGGATTATTTAAGACTCTTCCATGCTTCTATTCAGAAACCGCTCTCATTTTATTTGGCACGGAGGATGCAGTCTTCCACCGTGAACCTGTGGGTTAGTCAAGGTTACGAGTGTTGCTGAACAGGTCTTTTCATGCCTTCTTTCCTAAAGCTCAGCTGCCCCTGGGGTTAAAGGAACAAAAGGGAGCTTTCTAAAATTTAACTTAAGACTGGGAAGGACACAAACCCTTAGCCTAATAAGACCTGGCAAGATGCTAGCAGGAGATTTTGGGTTTACTTGTGTTTTTCTATAGTGCAAAAGGTCTGATTAGTTCATAGATGCTTTATTCTATGGCCCTGTGGTCAAGACTACCATGGGTAAAGCTGGAAATGGCTGAGAATGACCAATGGCTCAAGCCAGAAGTTGGAGTTAAAAGGAGGTAAGACAAGGAGTGGAACAGAAAGGCTTAAGCTTGACAAAGGGAGTGTGCTTGGGGGTTTACAAGACATAAGGAGAGGGTCACAGGGTACTATGTGGCAATCTGAATCACGTAATCTACCCAGGCCTCTAGGACCATGCTCTGTTCTTGTGGCTAAGAATCCCCAGAATCTCCTTGTCCTTAATTGGAACATAAGCTTTGACCCTTCAGCAAGGAACTGAGTGAACATTCTTTAGGATTTACTGCTTAACAGTAAAATGGTATTTTGGGAGAGATTTGAACCATGATCTTAAGATCTGGCAAAATGCAGGCACGATTTCCTTCTCTGAGCTAGACCATACTTCCTTTTTTAAAAGTCACGATGATATGACAGTTCAGGGACACTGAGAGTCCAGCGGAGAGGATTTTACTCTTATTTTTATAGTCTCTTATTTTTCCCTTGAGATTCAAGGCTAAGCAATATTCCGATCTTAGGCCCACTGTTTGCAGCCTGAAAATGGGACTTCTCACTTGTGTGAGTGGATCTGGGCCTCAAGCGGGCACCCACTTCTAAAGTGGTATACTCCAAAGAACTTTCTGTAATTATGGAAATTTTCTGTATTTGCATTACCCAATATGGTAGCCATCAGTGGCTAATGTAACTGAGAAACTGAATTTTTTCTTTTGCTTAACCAGTTTAAATGTGAATGGCCTCATGCGGCTAGTAGCTGATGTCTAGATTACTGGCAGTAGACAAAACTTGGTGTACTCACGCATTGCAGATGAGCCTAATGGGCCTGCTGGGCTGTAGCTCTCAAGGGGGAGGTGGTTGGACCCAACTCATTACTTTCTTGCAGGGAATAGATTATAGACTCTTGGTGACAGGCACTGATAATTTTCCTATCTCATTTGAGACACTGAAGGACAAGTTTCAACATATTTCTAATAGAGTTGTAAAACAGCAAGCAGGAATAATCTCTAAGAAGACTTTGAACAATATGGAGCCTGTCTCTGGGAAGGGGCATCCAGGAAACATAATGCTTTTCTTAAGGACCAGGACCAATAGTCTGGTCTCTTAATTCGACCTGCTTCCTATGAGAAGGAAAAATTGTCACCCGGTGATACCAATGTGGGGGAATTTCCTGAGGTCTTCTTTCAAAATTTCCCTTTCCTATAATGATAAGGTACCTGGTGCTGGAGAAAATAACTTCCTCTGCCAGTAGACCATTCCATTATATCCAGTTATCAGTATAGTAGGACTGTGATTTTTTTTTAAGATTTTATTTATTTGTTTGTGAGAGAGAGAGCAAGCACAAGCAGGGGGAGCAGCAGGCAGAGGGAGAAGCAGGCTCCCTGCTGAGCAAGGAGCCCAATGCAGGATTCAATCCCAGGACCCTGGGATCATGACCTGAGCTGAAATCAAGAGCTGGTCGCCCAACCGATGGAGACATCCAGGCGCCCCATGCTACACTTATTTCTTACCATCAATCTATTCATAAACCATTATTTCCTTCCCTTCTTCCTAAGTAAGAGTATAATTGAATGAAATGAGAATTTGTCTACCTGATACGCAACAAGCCAATGAAAATGACACCAAGCTTTTGCAGTGAAGGAAGATAGGCAATTTATTGATGTGGTGCTACCCAGGAGAACGGGGAGCTGATGCTCAAAAGTCCTGAACTCCCCATTGGCTTGTAAGTGAGGGTTTTTAAGGGCAAAACAGGGGGCTGGAGTTTCCTGAAAAGGTGGACACTGTTGACTAGAGGCCCATGAGGTCATGCTAGCAGGGGTCTCCTGAGAAGATGGACACCACTGACTGGAGGTTATGAGGCCATGTTAGCAGATATTACTTAAAAATTTCTTCTTTTTTTTTAATCTGAAAAATACAGAAGTATTTTTTATTTTTTCATTTAATGATGCAAAACACAAATGCTGATTTGACATACATTCACATATAACTTTTTCTCTCACGTTTACAACTCAACAGATTGGTGAATCCAAAGGAACTAGTATAATCACTATATGGAGCATACCATATTAGTATTTCAATAGTTTATTCCAACCCATTTCTTCTTTTATACTCTAAAACATCGTCATTATGTTGTTTGATGAGATAGATCCACAAGAAGACGGAGGTGCCCAAGGTCAGTCCAACTTTCAGCCAGTCAGGTCTGTCATGTGGTGCCTCCCGAATATAGAACTTTGATCGCGCTGAAGAGCCGCTTGGGGGCCTGGCAGGAGCCAGGCTTGGAGAACGTGCATAACAACGTGGGCCATGCCATCTTGCTGGGCAGGGCTCCCTACTTAAAAACTTCTAGTGCCACTTAGCCTGGTCCCCCAGAGGTCTATTCTATCTCAAGAGACTTGGAATCTGAAAAAATATCTTTATTTTTTGTATGTTAGAGATTTCATTAAGTCTTTAGGGTAGTGCTGATTAACTCAGTGTAAGCTAGTGGGGTTACATTGCTACACGTTCTTTTGATTGATAAGCAAGTGTTTCCATTTTTTGATATTCCTTGGCCCATCCAACCCTGCTTGGGGGTGATATGACCTCTAATGTTTATTCTCTCATCTGAATTGACAAGATGGATTCCAGCCCCAAGAGTCATGGGAAATGGAGCATAAAGGATCTGAAGAGGAAGAACAAGGCAGTATTCAGGATTCAATTCCAGAACGTCTGCCCCTTCGAGACCGCAGTTGGCCACACTTGCTCAGCTTGCTTGCCCATGTCATCCAGCTTCCCTGGCCCTGAAGAAAGCCTCCATTCACTCCGTGTGCACCTGCACCCAGCCAACGGTGGGAGGCTGCCGTCTGCACCCAAATCCATTGCTCAATATTCTTCTCCTTGGCGTTCTCAGTGACACCTCACTCTGTCAAAGCCCACATGGCCTTACCGTCCGTCTGGGCGTCTTGATAGTAAATACACTTTTGAAAACAAATATGTGAACATTGTTTTGTTTTCTTTCATTAGCTATCTTATGTTGCAGTCACAGTCAGTTGTATAATGGTTGTGTCTAGTGAAAAAATAAGGCCATTGTTTTTTGTCTTTGAGGCGATTATCTGTTTACCTTGACTGTGGCTTGCTAGGGAGGGTGTCGTAGGAAAACAATGCCTTCAAGTCCGGCAGCCCAGGCTCTGGGTGCCAACTTCATCATTTACTCATTCAGAAAGATCCATTCAACCCCTGCTGTGTGTGGGGACTTGTTCTAAGCGCTGGGAGAAAGCAGTGAAGAAAACAAGGATCCCTGCCCTCACGGAGCTTACACTCGAGTGGAATGAGACAAACATTAAATAAGATGGTTGAGGAAAAACAAACTGTAGGTGAGGTGGTGAGAAGTGCTAAGGATAAACAGAGCAGGGAAAGGGATAGAACCGTTACAAGCGGCTCGCCAGCCCAGGCCAGGCCAGGCCAAGAAAGTGTCATTTGAGTCAAGACTGGAAAGAGGTGAGGGAATGGACGTGCTGTAGGAGTTGTGTGATAGTAGGTAAAAGTTACCTATTTCTACATACCTGACTTTTACAAAATTTTTTTTTTTTTAAGATTTTATTTATTTATTTGACAGAGAGAGACACAGCGAGAGAGGGAACACAAGCAGGGGGAGTGGGAGAGGGAGAAGCAGGCTTCCCGCTGAGCAGGGAGCCTGATGTGGGGGCTCGATCCCAGAACCCTGGGATCATGACCTGAACCGAAGGCAGACGCTTAACGACTGAGCCACCCAGGCGCTCCCACAAAATTTTTAAAAAGATTTTATTTATTTGTTTGAGAGAGAGAGAGTGAGCAGGCAAGAGAGATCATGGGCAGGGGGTAAGAAGAGGGAGAAGCAGAGTCCCCACTGAGCAGGGAGCCCAATGTGGGGCTCGATCCCAGGCCCCCGGGATCATGACCTGAGCCGAAGGCAGATGCTTAACCGACTGAGCCACCCAGGCGCCCCTACATACTTGATTTATTCAACTCTGAAATGGGAACAAAAGCCACCTTGCTGACTTGTTCTGAAGGCCTGGGCCCAGCTGGGAAGTGTATCTGGTGCAGGTATCACACTGGAGTACGAAGCACAAGAACTATTATTACTGTGTGCATCATCACCATTGGCACCCCGGCACGGCCAGAATAAATAGGAGATCCGTTATTTATACACTTATTATCCCTAAATGACCCTGCTAAGAAAACACAGGTACAGTTTAATTCTGAAGACGGAATGAAGTACCCTAGCCCTGGGAGAGGGACATATGGTTTAAATATTTCTATCAGTCCGTCTTGGCAGGAAAAGGAAGGCCCCCTCAAACTGGGTCACTGGAGGGCCCCTGGGTGGCTCAGTCGTTAAGCGTCTGCCTTTAGCTCAGGTCATGATCCCAGGGTCCTGGGATCAAGCCCCGCATTGGGCTCCCTGCTTGGCGGGAAGCCTGCTTCTCCCTCTCCCACTCCCCCTGCTTGTGTTCCCTCTCTCGCTGTGTCTCTCGCTGTCAAATAAATAAATAAAATCTTTAAAAAAACAAACAAAAAAACCTGGGTCACTGGAGGAGAGTTTCCTGAGAGGATTACTTAAAAGATGGGCAGTGTGTAGGGAAACCACAGGGGTACTGCAATGCCCAGAACCAGTACCAATGGACAACAGGCTTGAAGGGATGAAGGGAATGTCTGATTACCAGAAGCCAGAGAGAGGGAGAGTCACAAGCTTGGCCGGAGCTGTGGCTTTCCATGTGGGGATGCAGCCATCCTGCAGTGACCCCACGAGGAGGGAGCTAGGGAGTGAAGATGCCTCTCATTTCCCATCAGGGCCCCCCAATGGCCAAACCCAACTGGCAGTCAGAGGGCGAGAGAGCTGGGGGGAGCAGTAACGTTGGCCAGGCTCCTGGGAAACAGAGCAGGTGGAGAAGGGTGAAGGGGAACAAAGGGCCACAGAAGGTACCAGAATAATACTGAAGGGCAAACTAAACATAATGCCCTGGTTCCCCCTGACAGTCCCATAGTCATCATTCTCCATATCGAGGGAAAGCACCCCTAGTTCTTTCCTTCATCAGATGTCCCCTTAATCACATTTGTTGCTTTCTTCTGGGTTCACCGCTTGCTTCTTATAAAGTCTAAGATTTGGTTAGGAGTTTTGAAAGAAAACCAGATTAATAAAAAATAAGGCCCAGTTGTGTGTAAAGCTGGAGATCTCTAACCCAGCCAATCTCTATCCGGGGTAGTGCACTGCGGACAAGGACAAGATGCTTGGCTTGTCACTCCCTAGCAGGAAAAAAAGGAAGGGGGGAGTAGTTCCTGACTGAGAGCATAGCAATGTCACCATTTTATTTTTTTAAATGAAGTTTAAGCTGTGATGTTAAGTAGAAAAGAGCCAGATATGAAACCATATGAACGATACAATCCCAACCACATAAAAAATACGCATATGCATGGAAATAAGACTAAAAAGAAATAAACTGTTTACAATGATTATTTATGGACTGTAGATTGTGATTTTTTTTCTTAAACCTTTTCTGTACTTTTTCCATGTTTCATCAATGAATACATATTCCTTTTAAAATAAAAGTGAAACCACTAAAAGTTATTTTTTTTACATAAAGGGAATATTACTTATTTCTTATAACCCACATCTTTGTTTAAAACTAAGAATAGTCGGGCGCCTGGGTGGCTCAGATGGTTAAGCGTCTGCCTTCGGCTCAGGTCATGATCCCGGGGTCCTGGGATCGAGTCCCGCATCGGGCTCCCTGCTCCGTGGGAAGTCTGTTTCTCCCTCTGCCTCTCTCTCTCTCTCTATCTCTCATGAATAAATAAATAAAATCTTAAAAAAAAAACACTAAGAATAGTCATAGCTTTCTTTTATGGAAAACTTGAATCCAGCATCATTTAAAAGACTCACTAAACTGATTATTTTGCTGCTTTTAAGAAAATTATTTTATGGATAATTTCTAAAAAGAGCATGCTAAGCAAATTAAATGGTATTTCCTCTAAACTAGTTTAGTCTGTTTTAAGTTTATTTTTTAGTAATCTCCACACCCAATGTGGGGTTCGAACTCACAACCCCAAGATCAAGAGTTACAGCTCTTCCCACTGAGCCAGCCAGGCGCCCCTATATTAGTTTAATCTTGACTCATGCTTCTATATAATACTAATGGTATGCTTTGAGAGCTTCAGTCCATGGATGTCAAATTCATTCTCACCAACTACTAAAATTCTCAAACTGGAAATACATAATTGTAAAACATTAAACCGAATTCTAGTGAATTAATAATCATTTTCTTATATTGCATCAACCACAAAGTAGATCCAGAGAGATTGCTGTTTCACTTTTTTTTCACTTCACACTAAGACCAATTTTGTTCAGCTCAACAACGCCCCCCCTTTTTTTTAAAGATTTTATTTATTTATTTGACAGAGAGAGCGAGAGAGCACAAACAGGAGGAGGGGCAGAGGGAGAGGGATAGGAAGGCTCCCCACTGAGCAAGGAGCCCGATTCGGAGCAGGGAGTCTGACTTGGGGCTCCATCCCAGGACCCCTAGATCATGACCAGAGCTGAAGGCAGATGCTTAACCAACTGAGCCACCCAGCCATCCCTCAGCAAACCCTTTTTTGAGACATGACAGGTATGCTTGGCACTGGATTAGGTGTTGGGTATACACAGGAGAATGAGACAAGCCCCTGCCCTTAAAGAGACACAGCCCTGGAGACAGACAATAAGAAGATGACTTCAGTCTAGTATGGTAACTGCAAAGAAAGCAAACTGCAAAGGGGAATATAGTCAATAATATTGTAATATTGTTGTGTGATGACAGGTGGTGACTACACTCGTCATGGTGAGCATAGTGTAATGAATGGAATTGTCAAATCACTATGTTGTATACGTGAAACTAATATAACACTGTATGTCAACTATACTTCAATAAAAATAAATAAAGTTGAAACTTCTTTTAAAAAAAAAAAAAAGCTAACTGCAAAGGGCTAGGAAAGCCCAGTCAAGAAGCTTGCAGGAAGAGCTACTCAATTTAAAGCAAAAAACAAAAACTAGGTTTGCCTGGCTGGCTCAGTCAAAAGAGCATGGAACTCTTGATCTTGGGGTCATGAGTTTGAGCCCCACGTTGGGTGTAGAGATTACTAAAAAAAATAAAACATAAAAATAAAGCCTTAAAAAAACAGAGGCCCCTGGCTGGCTCAGTTGGTGGAGCGTGTCGATTCTTGATCTCAAGGGTTGAGTCGCACATTGGGTGTAGAGATTACTTTAAAAAAATAAAATCTTAAAAAAAAAAAAAAAAGAATGGGGCACCTGGGTGGCTCAGTCGTTAAGCATCTGCCTTCGGCTCAGGTCATGATCCCAGGGTCCTGGGATCGAGCCCCCTGTCAGGCTCCCTGCTCAGTGGGAAGCCTGCTTCTCCCTCTCTCCACTTGTGTTCCCTCTCTTGCTGTCTCTCTCTGTCAAATAAATAAAATAAAATCTTAAAAAAAAAAAAGACTTAAAAAAACAAAATAAAAATTGACTTGCTGCTGAGATGGCTGACTCTTTGGTAACTGGAACTCTTTGTTTTTGAATTTTATTTGGGCGGATCAGGATGGAAGCCAGCGTGACCAGGCTTGTGCTGGTGAGTGACATCTCAGCAGACTTGATCCTGCTCAGCTGCCCACAGCCCCCATCACCCTCTCAAAGATGAGGACAACCATCTACATCCCATGGGCTATCAGCAATGACTCGCTGAGGCCAGCTGCTTCCTTCGAGACAACACCTCTTATTTGGAGCTGTGCTCTGCTAGCTTCGGGGGGGACTGCCTTCTTGCGGGTTGTCAAGAAGTTGCAAGTTGTCTTTGGTAGGGGAAGGCAGAAGGTAGACAGCAAAGAATAAAACAATCCTAAGGAATTTGAGTTTCATTTCTGAAAATGTGGAATGCTCTGGATGGCGAACAGTTTTGCTGCCGATGATGAGCAAGAGCTGTTGTGTGG